CTGTGAATACCTTACTGAAATCTTTATGCTTGAGAACTATTCAATAAGGGCTAATATTCCAAGAAATCCTCTGATCCCTTGTCATAACCGAAGTTATTTACGTTCAAACGGTAACTGTTTCCTGCTCCTCATCAGCATAGTTTGTTGGATCATTGCCATATGCAAGTTCGACCATCACATCAAGGTGGCACCTACCTGTCGAGTATCTTAAGAGTATAATAATTATATTAACTGGTCAGCTGCAAATCTCCCATCCACCCCCACCCCCCTCCTCTTGAATAATCGACCACAGTATCACCCATAGCCCCTAACACTAGTTGATAACTTCGAGTTTTAAGCCTAATCTAAATTTTTTATTATCTACCCTCTGATTGACCGTTTGAAGGCTATCTACGGTGTCCTGGTATTCAGTATAAAAATTCTGTTAGGCATGGAGTTAAAGTTACATCATCACTAAATTGATCACTGAGTGAATATATTTTTTCTAGATATTTCTAATTTTTCTCTTAAACTCTTCAAAATGTCTGTAGTTGTTCATGATTTTCTGTCTCTTTCGTCAATAAAGTCAACTAATTACTTATTGACACTATTTAAACAAAAATATTTTCATTGTATGACAAAAAAAAAAAGTAATTTTTCTTTTCCCGCCAAAAATTGTTCCACTTATCAGAGATTTATCATTTAACTGACACTGGTTAAAAATTTGTCATATCCATATAGAAAAAGCAAACTTCAGTCACTATATCATAGTAACTGGGTCTAGTGATGACAAATTACTTCAATTTGTAATTTTAAAGGCAATAAACAAAAATCTGAAACAAACACATCTACACATAGAGAAGGAACAGAAATACACAACAAGGAGATTCGGGTTGGCTACTGTTTATTTGAATAGATTGATTTCACCAGCGCCTTACCTATATATACCTTTCTGTTTGTCTTATTTATTTAAGTACACACACATAAGAGTTTCCAGGTTATCAGTTCACACCTAATCTTGTATTTGTTCTGAAAATGGGAATTGTAAACTCAACACGTCTTGACATCATCTTCTAGACGTTCAAACGGTTTAGACAACAGTGATGAATATACGAAATTGGTGTGCGTTTTTTTAACAAGAGGCCACACATGGAGTTATTTAGATATGATCATTAATCATAATATATTTCAACTCGTTACTGTCACGGTTTCCTCCGTCTTGTTAATGTACTTTTCTTTTTACCAGTCCCTTCTGTGTGTGGTGTGTGTGTGTGTGTGTGTGTCTTCTTCACATCTACTACTAGCGTAGAGTAAAACACGTACACATGTACTTCGTTAATGTATACTTCTCTTTTGAATTCTCTTGGAATCCATCTTTGTCTCACATTCTGTTCCTCCTAATCCTCGTCGTCGTCGTCGTCCTCCTCCTCCTCCTCCTCTTCCTTTCATCTCCACTTTCGTCTTAACAACTTATGATAATCTTAATAAGATCACAACTGTTCGAGTTATTCAGAGTTTTGACAACTGTTTTATCATGTGTAATTCACTTCTCAGCTAAGGTTTACGTATCTCTGCTTCTGTCTGTTGCTCTCCCCCTCCCCCCGCCGACGCACACACACACACAAGCACAGTTATAGACTTGCTGGCATTCTAGTAGAAATACATAATGGAATTCACTGGTAACTACCTTGACCATCAGCAGCATCACCATAGGCATCATCACTTCTGTCATAGCCGTCATAATTATGCATACAAGCCATTCGTCATTACACTTGCGTGTATCTAAGGTCCAAACAAGGGCATGTGTGTGTGTATGTGTGTGTTCTATTTTGACTGTTTTGATAGACAGTCATCATGGATTGTGTACAGTGGCATTTCACATTGTAATAAATAAATCTTTATCACAAAAATGTTGAAATTTCATCAGCTAAAATAAATATGTAAAGAAATGAAGTCGAACTCGCCTAACTTCTTTCTTCTAGTTAGACCTGCCTAATCATCCTTGCTTGATTTTATAAGTGTCCTATCAGTCAATTTTTTTGTCTAGCCTATGTGAATAACTTTAAAGGATACCTTAAGCCAACTGCTGATGAGATAGCCAGCCAATTAACTTGGTCTATTCTGTGGAACACTATCTTCCTAGGCAAAATACCCAGATATGATTGGTTATTTAAGCAGTTACTAGGTGTATATTGTTCCATCAGGAAGCTAATCAACTTTATCAGTGCACTTGGATTGTCATTCCTTTCGATGAAATCTTTTGTAATTCAGTTTGAGGGTTTATACACGACTGGTTGGTTTCATTATTCACTAAGAACATTCTTCCAAATCGATATCTTGAAGTTGTAACGAAACGACATGACCTGTCAGGTCAACTAAGTCGGCTGGGAAGAAAATTCATCACCGATAATAAGGGATAATGATGTTCAAGCTATATAGCGAGTTGAAAGAGGTGGGAAAATATGAATCGTTGAATCCCGACCCAGTTGGTAAGTGATGACATGCTGGTTGCGGGATATGAAGGTCCTGGGTTCGAGCGCTTGGGGTGATTTCTGAGTCTTCTATGGTTCTCTGACTGATTTTACTAAATAATGAATATCATCTTGAAATCTTTTGTGCTGTTCGAATTCAATTGAGACACTTAGCCGATTCACTAGTTTAAGTAATGATTCTTGAAATGAAACCTAGTTGTTTGATATAAATCATCTCTATTGAGACATTTGGCATAGAATATGAGAAAAGACTATACCCAATCCAAATTATGAGAAAAAAGTGTCTGTTTTGTAATCTTTCAATTTTTTTGGATGAAGTAAGCATCCTGTTATTTGATACTTATAATTTCCTGCTGTTGTACTGAGTCGAGTTGTTCGACCTCTGCCGCAACACTCCCCGATTACTCATTGCGTGGTATTCTGCATGGTTACTGATTTCTATAAGCGGTTCCTAAAATTCCACTCATAGTCACTTACAACGTATACCGCACAGATTTACCTTCTTGGCACCACCCTGGAAGGGGAAATCGTTATTATTATATTATCATTTGTCCCTTGGGTTACTAATGGAACATAGGGATTCAGCAGCACGTCTCCAGTCCACTCTCTTCTCTGCAATCTTTTAAACCTGGCTCCACGACTGACCACAAGCTCTCATTTCTTCCTCACACAATCTCCTCCATGTCACCCTCACCTCCAACACCCAACTCGTTGCTTCCCATTTGGCTTCCACTCGAGTACCTGGCCTGGAGCGTGATGTCCCCAATCCGCCTTCTCAGTGTATGCCCAATCCCACCCATCTCCACTTCCTTCTGCATATTTGTTCAGCGATAGGTTGTTGGTTGTTCGTTGCCAGGCAGAGTGAGTTCCTCGTTGCTTATTTTTATTCTTTCTGTCAATCCATCTGATCTTCTGTATCGAGTGTGTAGGTGGCAGCTGTTGATGAATATCCGAAGTTTGTTGGAAATGCTTTTCGTAACGCGCCAAGTTTCTGAACCATATAGAAGCACTGACTTGACTGAATTGGTGTTGAAAATTCGGATGTTGTTCTTTATGCTGAGTGCAGAAGATCTCCACACAAGTTAGTCGATAGTTGAGTGATGTGCACACATGAAACGCATATAATCATTACTTACCCCTCAAAAGGCCACTGCGAACCCCAATCCTAGTCATGAGGATGACGAACCAGCTTGCACAACCCATTTGTACCAGATTCACTGTCATCAATATTGTAATGCAGGTGGTGTCACTGGATATCTGTGTATGTATTTTAGTGTGTTAAGGTTAGTAGAGATAACTTGCTCTGGGGTAACATACGATGATATCCTTGGCCAGTGTTATTATTACTATTATTATTATTATTACCAGCGATAAATGATTGATCGTTATATCAATTCTGTTCGAATATAGCTTTTTAAATGCATTATGTATCTAGGCAGCGTTGCATAATATTGTCGATGAATAAACCGGTAAATAGTTTTCATGTTCAAGAGCAGTTGGAAAACATCCACTTGAAAGTGAAGTGGATGTCAACTGAAGACGTCAGTGAATAGTCACACTAAATCAAGGAGTTGATAGAAATAGGAAAATGTGATGTGTTAAACTCCGACCCAGTGACTGAATGGTTAACGAGATCGCTATGGAGACTGAAAGGTCATAAGTTCAATCCCTAGTGGAGTTGTAGACACGCATTGCCGAGGAGTTGCACATTAGGAATAAATGGCTGTCCACTGCTCTCCAGTTTCCAATGCTTTGCTAACTGATGTCAGTCTGTGATGAATATTACCCTAGAAATTACTTAACTCAGGTTCAATATTCGCCTATACTTATCTATAATGATTGCAGTCAGTCAAGGAGAGGGAAGATGAAGTGATAAGAGAAACCAAGTAAACAAACATATGGAATATATATATATATATATATATATATATATATATATATATATATATATATATATGTTTATTGATATATAAAAACAAGTTGATATGTACTCACATTTTTATCAAATCATCTTCAAACTGAAGTAATAACACAGACAAGACAAGAAGTAGACAAAGGAAGTTTTGTATTTAGAAAGTGTGAGTTGGAACATAATCCTCGTGGATGATAAAGAAGCAGAAGAACTGGTCGTAGACAAAAAGGTAGTGGGTGAGAGCAGTAGAGACCAACAAACGTCACCTGGAGAAGTTACACCCGCATTGGTTATCTAATAGGTGGTCTCTTGGATGCTGTCACTGTCAATGTGTATTATTCAGATTGCTCATTTTCTGTTTTCGTCATACTTTAAGTTGTATATATATATATATATATATATATATATATATATATATATATATATATATATATATATATATATATATATATATATATAATATATATATTGTTTGAGGTCAGTTGGTGCCCCAATGTTCATATGAATATTTTGGATATTCAGATATCAAATTTTGTTGTCTTGGATGTAGACCCTTTAAATAAAGGCCAATTAATCAATTAAATAAGTAAAGAAAAGGCGTAAAAATGTTTTTCATTTCATATACAAGAATCTTGACTCCAAAAGTCAGATTTATCCATGATAGGTTGGTCACTTTTAGTATGTTGACAATGATAATGGTGGTGTTGTTGGTGTTCAGGAGGCTGAAGTGGGTGATGATGATGAGGAGGAGGAGGGGGAGGGGGAAGAATATTGTGATAATCATTTTTAGAATTGCTGCTGGTTACAGCAATTTTATTACCATAACTACTACTTGATGGATTGAAGGGAATAGTCGAACAGCCATTGAATTGGTTTATCTGGTGTGTAGTCCGATGTAATGCCAATGTACGTGACTGACAGAATCCTTTACCGCAAATTTCACACAGGAATGGTTTCTTTGAACTATGTGTAAACCTGTAGAGAAATCAAAAAAGGATATATTTAATTATTCGTCATCTGGTAGTATAAAGTTATTTTCAGTTGTATTAGTCTTGAACTGATATCCGTTGGAGAACCATTGAAAACCTAGGGATGTTGGGCAGCTATTTCGTCCTAGCGTGAAACCGTCAGAAATACGCACCAACAACTCAGGACCTTCAGATTTCATGCGGAACGCGTTACCCATTCAGTCACTGGGGGAGGGATTATATGCTCCACATTTTCCTTTTTATTCAATTCGTGAAATAACATGACTATCCACTAATGTCTTCAGTTATCATTCACTTCACTTCCTGCTGTTGACCCCACACGTCATGGCTTCTTATTAGAACTTCGAGATATACTTCTCGAAGCATGTCACTAATGACCAATATACACTTATGTAGTTTGGAATTTATGGAGAGATTGACAACTGAATCATTGTTTATCGAATCGACACCTAATACATGTAACAGGAATGACTCAGCACTTGTTCGGGATACATGGAAAATCCTACCACTTAAATCACAAAAGGGGTGAGGAAATTAGGACTACATAAGGGATATTTCAAAGTTGTGTAGTCATCTTGATATGATGATGAACAATAAATTGTGTCCGAAACGTTATCCAGTAAACAATACTGTAACACTGTATGCGGTGCTTCCTGAAGTTCAGGAGAGAAGTTGTGAGCGATTGGGCCAACCAAGTCGAACATGAGGACAATAACTTAGCTATGACACTGGATGTAGGTTGCGCTATATCATGAACTGACAGAAGTAGGCAATGTAGACCACTGGATTCCAACCTAGAGCCTCAATTATAACGTACTGGTCACGGAGCCTGAAGGTCCCGGGTTCGATCCTTGGTGAAGCAGGGTCATGGGTGAGCACTGCTGAGGAATCCCATACCAGGACGATGTGGCTGTCAAGTGCTCTCAGATTTCCAATGTTCTTCCTACTGATGTCAGTCAACGATGAACTTCAACTTAAAAGTAGAATTCATGTATTGTCATCTTTTTATTCACATTACAAATTATTATCATAATTTTATTGTTTATCTATTTGTCCCTTGGATTCCTAGTGAGACATAGGGCTTCAGTAGCACATTGCCATTTCACTATATTCTCTATAGTCCTTTGAACCTGGCTCCACGACTTTGCACAAGCTTTCACTTCTTCCTCACATTATCACCTCCATGTCACCCTCATCTGGGACGCTCAACTTGTCGCTTCCCATGCGGGTTCCACTCGAGTACCTGGCCTGGCGTGTGATGTCCCCGAATGGTCTTCTCAGCCTATCTTCAGTCTAGTCCAATCCATCTCCACTTCCTTCTGCATATTTGTTGGGTGATTGGTTCTTGGTTGGTTCGTTACCAGCCACAGTGAGTTCCTTGTTGCTTATTCTTTCTGGCAATCCATCTGATCTTCAGTATCGAGTGAGCGTAAACGGCAGCTGTTGATGTATGTCTGAAGTCTGTTGGAAATGCTTTTCGTAACGCATTTAGTCTTTGAACCATACAGAAGCACTGATTTGACATAGTGTTGAAAACCCAGATCTTGTTCTTTATGCTGAGTGCAGTACATTATTATTATCATAATTATTATTAGTTATTTTAGAGAAGAAAAGCACGGGAAGGATTGAAAACATTAGCTCACCTATGATCTCTTAAATGATCCTGTCGTCGAAATGCTTTCCCGCAGACATCACAAGGAAATGGTCTTTCATTAGTGTGTGTACGTTCATGAATTAACAAATTGTAGGATTTCGTGAATTGACGTAAACAAAATCGACAAATATATTGTTTACGAATTCTACAAGTGAATAGATAAATACTACTCATAAGTATACTAATTACAATATATTCAATATCATTTGAAGTGAATTACACCCGTGGAAAAATATTCTATGATTTTAAAATTGTTGATATAGTTTCCTTTTGTTACACTAGATCGAACTGTTTAACTCTGTTGGCATATAGGCCGTTACGTGGATGCCTCGATATTGCCTGAATATCATTACATTCATATGTTAACAGAGGTTGAACAATTCGATTCAATAAAACAATAAAGAATTACAAGTACATCAAAGAAAAGTTTTTAACTATTACCTGTTGTACAAAAGGTGACTATCGTGCCCCAGTGGCCTAATGGGTAACACTTTGGCATTTGAGGCAAAGGGTAATGGCCTAGCATCTCAGTGGTAATAACATAAACCACTTGGATGCAGGTACATCCAGTTGACGAGTCCCAAATAGGACGAAAGCTACGTTTTGGATTCCATTACTAGTAACAATCAAGTAGATTTTAAAATTGTTAGAAAAGTCTTCACTATGATTCAAAAGCTATTTGAGTGAACAAAGAATATACTTTTCGATGACTTCTTCTTTTTCTGGCCTTAAAGTGAGGAATTATACATCAACATTATTGAGACTCCATTCATCAGTTTATTAATAATATTATACAGCTGAGGGAGTCGATTCACAAAAGTCATGTGTGAACGTTAATGATGGGATCAATTGTTATTGATTGTTTAGACAACTCTACGGCGTAGGTGACAGTTTGATGAAGCAAATGAAGAAGGATAATTTAAGAAGTAATAACCTTGACAGAATGGCACTCATGTCGAGAGACTAAATAGGTTAAGAGAATTTGTTAGAATTATTTCGAATTGATTATAGGAATGAATGGGGGGATGTCTACTGTATGGAATTACATTGTCTGGAGTAGGATGTTAATGAATTTGCGGTTCCTGAATCGAACTCTGGTAGTTGTAACGGTAACACTTGCTCCATTTGAATACACAACTCCAGTTTTTTTATTCTAATTGCTACTGCTTCTGTTGTCTGAAGAATCTCGAGCTGAGTACCTTTGGAAAACCACTCATTTATGTCCACACTACGGTTTGTTTCAATCAAGTGTACTAAAAATCTTTACAACACCTTTACTAAACTACACTAGGAGGTGTTCCTGAGGATGGAAAATTAAATTCCTAGAGCAGTGGTCGACGTAACTCGCTCCACAGGAGCAGATGAACTCATAAACACAACTGGAAGTGGCCAATCTAGACAATTCATCTTTCAGTCTTGGTGTCATCATTGGATGCGTGGAAAACAAAATTTGAATTGAATCCTAGTAACAATTCATTCCATCATAAGCATTCACACAAGACTTTTCTCAACTGTATACTATTATAAACAAAATGATAAGCGGAATCTCTATATTGCTGACTCATAACACCTCAGTATGTACATATAACTGTCGAACCTGAAGATTTTACAATTAACTTTCAATAAATATGGGTAAATTAGTGTTGGATGGTTGCAGGCAACTGGTATGACATCCTGTTTGATGTGGGTTTCTAGCTTGTTGGCGGGCATCAGCAAGGCCTATCCGAAACTTCAAGGACTCCAAATAGTTTAGTGGTTATGTTTCTGATTACATTAATGGGTGACACGTGTTCGGATGTGTCTGAGGGGATATCTGTTCCATCTAGGTTACAGATACGCGTTGTTGACGAGCGCCATCAAGCCATTCGCCTTCAACTAACTAACATCGATCAAAGTGCACCGCCTTGAGGAGTCCCCTAGCGTAGTAGACATATTGCAAAATAATCGATCAGTACTTAAAACTAATCAATAAAATTGATTACTCTGCAGCAACCGATCAGTTTATAGATAAATTTACTATAGACTTAATGTTCCAACCACTGTGTTAAACTCGGATACTTCACCTTTAACACTTTTTATATTTGGAGAGAGGGGGGGACATGATTTGTAGCATCATTGAATTTGAAGGTGAAAATGAATTCCCACTGATGATATGGGATCAGAATCATGCCGTATTTTGAAGTGACAAAAGTTGCTAACGTAAACTTTTCGATATGCTGTAGTCCGCTCTGTGGTGAGGAGTGGAATCCAGGACGAGCTTTTCATCCTATTTGGGACTAGTAAACTGGATGTGCCTGCACCTCAGTGGATGGTGTTGTTCCCACTGCAACTCGATCCATTACCCATTTCCAGTTGCAAGTTTCAAGTAACAACTGATACCTGTTACACAAAAGGTGGCTCTTGTATAAAGATAAATACAGATCTATCAACTGTTCCAACATTTAGTAGATAATGGACGGTTCCAGACGAATTCCATTTCTGTACACTTCAATTCCAGTCCCTTAGTGTACTTCAACACAAAACACCGTGAATTTTTTGTTCGTTGGTCCAAGGTTCCGTTTAAAAAAAGACTCTTTACAGGTGTGAGTCCCGCTCGATCTGCCGAGACTCGGGCAGCCTAGTAGTGTCATGCGGCTCACCGCATACTACAGGGATGCATGCATGGTTGGATCTAGGTTTTTTAAACTGAAGCACGTGTGCCCGGGTCAGTCGAAATAACACTCCAGCCTATATGGCCCATAATTCATATGCAATACTTGAAGACATCGAGTGAAATGAGCAATATCGATACAACATATGGGGCTTGGAAATGTGCCTAGCAAATCAGGATAACAAAATATTATGTGGAGAAGTAGTCATTCTCGAAATGATTCTATGTCTTTTGCATTGACTTTCACGCATAGATTCTAAGAAACTACTTACACCATGATAACTAAAGACTTCAACCTACCATATCTGAAACCTTCTTAGGTCAGTGAACCTTGCAGTGAATGACAGACTTCTTTCTATACAAACACACTGCATTGAACACAAACTGGACCACCAGCGTGTAAGCGATGTAACTATTCAATCCCTATTGGAGTCTACAAATCAAGTTTGAAAACTGGTGACTAAGCTTAATGAAGCAACACTGTGGTGTACTCGATTACGGTGTCAGATGTTGAGAGTTAGCCTACAGAAAGTAGTGCTTGATCGAGTTTTCGTGTTCATTAGGAATCGTCAACAAGGTTGGTCTGAGACTGTGAGGAAGTAGCAGTAGTGAACACTAAAAACTAGGCGGGTATATTGACTATCCTTTGGTGGTCGAATTGCATACGTATTCTAGCCATACAGGGTATTATCCGTGATCTGAAAAGCTTAACGGAGGCTAGTATCCCCAGAGAAACGCCAGTTTCATTATCTCTGCAGGTATGCCTTACTGATCAGCACCAAAAGCATGAATCCAAAGTTCAACAATCCACATACTTCAATGGGTTTTGCTACAAACAACACAGTATCTCAACCGTCGTAGATCTTATCATCTCTAAGACGTTCTGACATGGTTGCAGGTGAGTAAACTCCTCTCTTCCTTAAATAAGACTCTCAAATAGAGTTGAAAAATCCCTAACAATTTAAAAATGAAGGGTGAGGGATGGGTGGAGGGGACAGGTAGAGACATAAACATTTGCACAAATATACTTATAGCAACAACAACAACAATATTTACCTTCTACGTGATCCAGTTTGATTTGGTTTCTCTTCCTTACAGGTGATTAGTCGACCACAATTGACACGTAATCTATTCAACGTAAGAAATTCAAAAAGAAAAACAAGAAATGTTTGTAACTGGTATATACTACTGAATAAAGACATACAGTATTAAAATATCATAGAATTACTCAACCTACATTTGAGAAATATACAGTTGGAAACCGACTGAAACTTTCATTAAAAGTAGGACATAATCTAAGCGTTGAGTTCTCATAGCTTATTCAGATTATCTCAAGATGAGTCCATTAGTCTCATAGACTACATCAAGACTGATAGAAAGTGATATGTAATGATATACCTTCAACATCCCCTCACCCTACGATCTTAGTGATCAGTTGATACCCGGAAATAAAACAAACAGTATGTATAGCAACGTCAAAATGTGTCCAGAACACAATGTCACATGAAATATAACGCATTGGCCTTAGTACTTTCCAGATAGGTCTGGAAAGGAATATTCTATTGGTTTCGCCTCTTCAACCAATCAGAGAGCTAGTTTTTATTTTGACTATTTGAGCGAGATAGCTATGATTTGAAGGACTAGTAGTGATACTGAGTGATAATGAAAGCATGATTCGAGCAAGCGACCACTGGGTGTTCGACCCTGTGGTCTACCAAGCTACGAGACCCAAGTTGTGACTGCATTTTTATTTCACTTGAATAACTTAGAATTTTGCCCGGCTTTTGTGTGAGTTCGTGAAGCGTTAATACCGCTTGATCGTACCTACAGTGGTTCACTTGTATTAACTCAGGGTTAGTCGAATTGATCACCGTCAGTGTGACGCTCCCCGTCTCTAATTCATGTAAATTGAGACTAAGATGAGAATTCCTGACTGGGCAACCAGTTCGAATACGGTCAAGTGGTAGTAATGCATCACGAATTCACGTGGCAGTCGGATAAAACTCTTAGTCACTGAAGTAAAATAAAAATCTGACAGGCAGTTGGGTCTCGTAGCTCAGTTGGTAGAGCACCGGTCTGGAAATCCAGTGGTTACTGGTATGAATTTTTGCCGTGGCCCAGATTTTCATCTCACCTTCAATTATCACCCAGTATCAATCTGATATTTATGTGTATAATCACTCGGAGTATGTTGATGAATTGTGAAGCATTTTACGTTCTTCAAGCTTGTCTCGAAATTCTGGACAATCGTAGTGGACACCCTAACAAAGATGAATATCGATCTGAAGCTATTCAGGCTATGTTCATATTTCCCCAGAGATACTGGGTTGGAGAATACGTGATCAATCGAACACCTTTGATTTCGCAACATACATACATACATACATACATACATACATACATACATACATACATACATACATACATACATACATACATACATACATACATACATACATACATACATACATACATACATACATACATACATACATACATACATACATACATACATACATACATACATACATACATACATACATACATACATACATACATACATACATACATACATACATACTACGTACGTACATACATACACAAATACAACCCAGCGGTTAGTATAAATAACAAAAACCAACTCATTAACACATTCTGACTCCCTTTTTACAGGGAGGTTAAATAGTAAACGGGATTCGAATTAGTAACTTTGGCAACACAGATTTGGGCTTTGATTGATAAGCGTTTCAATGTCATACTAGACATCACTATCGTCACTGATGCACACAAATGAATATACAAAATCAGTCAGTCAATTAACCACAACTACAATGATAAATGATCAATATTTCAATTTTAAATGGATCTCATGACTGAAGTGAAACCGAAACTTGAGTCAGTGTCACATTACCACTACTGATATCTGGCCTTCCATCTGTATAACGATTCAATTTACTAAGACTATCTCATTCACTTTAATCAACCGTCATTTTTTTATATTGTGGTCGTTTTTTGTTTGTTTTTCAAGTGACCAAATGCTCACACGTCCATTCTTCGAAATATTTCAAAATATGAAATATTACTGATTTAACACGTTCAGTGTATTTTAAACGAAAAATTTCTCTCTCAGTAGTTAACGTCGTATACGCATACTTATGTGTAGGGTAACCATGGCAACACTGTACTCAGAAGCTTATATTACCTTCATTGGTATCTATGATTGTATTGTATAGTGATACGAACAATCATCCAGAAGTATCAGTCACGATCCCTCAGCATACACACACACACACAACTCTAACCTAAAGATTCGCATAACTTGAGTACAGTCCTATTTCACATAAATAAGGCACATTCAATTCAATAAAAATCTGAGAATATTCACAAAAATCACGGGGACATTTAAGAAACGGAATCCGCTAATTTTGTACAATTGCTAAGCGAACAAAATAACAAACAGACTCATAAACTGTGAATATATGTCCATACTTTCTTGTCTTCGTGTTTGGTTATGTACGTGTACGTGTTCGAGGAATGGATATAGAGTTGTAGTTATACCAGGATTCGTCAGTTGAGCACTGCTTATAAGTTGATATGTCGAATAGGTGATTTTTTCAGATTGTCCAGTCTTGTATGACGTCTTGTCTCTGTATGTGTGTGTGTGTTTGTTGAAGGTTGTAATGACACGAAACACGCACACATACACACACAAGGACAAGCAGACTAGTATACATACATTTACAAACATCCAAAATATATGATGAGTACACATATTCATTAGCTGAGTTGCTTGAATTAAGTTTTCATCTTGTCTACATTTAATCCACCTCCTGATCGGTAAGTGAAATTCATGATTTCTATCACAAAAGGTCTATTGTTAATAATAATGATAATTAGTCGATAGGTAGGTATAATTTATTTTATTCAGTAAATAACATACAAACAAAAACAAAGAAGTCGTTATAAATTACACAAATTAAATTTTCGGTTTAGATTTAAGTTTTGTTACATTGTATTCGTAAATATATGCATATACATACACGCATACATACAATTACTGTGTATGTGTATGTGTGCGTACGTATGTGTAAATTTAAATATTCTTGACTTTGAGGTAGATAGATAGATAGACACACATGCATATTTCTGCAAGTATGTGTTTGTGTCATCGCAAACAGCTACAAACAAACGAATGCAACACAGATTGTTTTCCTTAATAGTGTAATCTACGTAATTCACACACAAAAATCAATAAAATTGGTAATTACTCGAATCACATAATGCATCTGTTTTGATCAAAATAGCCAACATGTATTGTCACATAAGAAGATGAACAGAGAAATGAGAATAAACAGATATATGTCACAGCAGCTTGCAAAGAACAAGTGGATAGAAAAAGAATGGTGTCAAGGTAGACAAAGGTGTAGGAGAAGAAAAAGAGTTTGAAAATAGAGGTTAGTGCAATTTTTCAGGGTTTAGAAGACAAGACATCAAAGAGTGAATACACCTGCTTCATTGTGACCGACTTTCAACCGTGTCATCAAAGGTTAACAATTGATTCTTGTCATCTCAAGGAACTCAACTAGGCAGTCTATATCATCTACACAGACGAACGGTTAGATAGTTCTTTAACTAGTGTCATGTCTTGTTTTGATGACACTGAGCTATCCTCCAGCCTGGTCCAACTTCGGCTAACATAGTATATTGAAGTAGCTAGTGACTCGACATGCGCAACACATATCAAAGCCACCTCAGTTTCAGAAGGCTCACAACCTCCTCAACTGATTTTCATGTCTTCCCTAGTACTCATCATCTAACTTTTACATTGCTCACACGATGGTTTCCCCATATGTAAACAGTACTGCGAAGACATCACTGGTTGAAAACCAGTTGTCTAGCCATATCTCCAACCTGCGACGGTTATATCTAACAGTTTATAACAGGACAGGACGAACTGCAGTACAGTATGCTCATCTTTTAACGGGTAGTGGGATATATCGCGGACGCCGTAGATGATGCAAGTTGAAAAATGATAGTAGGTTTTTTGCATCCGGGCTGAGATTTTGTCATTAACCAACCCGTTGGCGCTAACTCAGCCCTCCCTCCCCCCACTTTACTCTCTGTGTTTAAACTGGGAGTACTTACAGCAGACCAGTCCTGGAGTATCATTTTACACTTGACAAATGTGAAACACATGCCGAACATACACAGATATCTGCTCGAGACGTTCAGAAGACCTGTATCTTGTCAACTTTTTCGCCTAACAGGACAATACCATCTGTTGACTCCAAGTCAAACATGTGGTCTCCTAGAAATAGGTCAATTCCTGTGAGGTCGGAGGTACCTAAGTTTGTGTTCACTAATAAATCTATAACGAAGTTAAGCAGAAACAGTAACAGTGGATATCCTTGGCGGACATCACTAGTTGTCGTCGATTCTGGCAACAACTCTCCATAAGCTCCTACACGACTGCATGAGTCCGAGTAGTGAGCTCAGATTAGGACAGTGTACTTGCTCTATACTCTCTTCATAGTCAGATCCAGCCAGTCACAACACCTCCCGATCGACAAAATGGAGTGTCACCTGCAGATTAAGAAATATGGCAAGTGTCGGTGACTGGTAAGTATGCCTATTCTCCTGAACCTGTTGAAGGGTGATGATCTATTCGACGTACCCTTCAACAGGTCTGAAACTTGCCTGGTTTTCTCGAGCTCAAGTTACGAGTCGGATAACTACGGACTATAGTATCTTGAACAAGGTGTTAGTTAAAACTGATTTCACCTTGACTGTCACAAGAAGACTTCTGTTCCATCATGCAAACTGGAATAATTAATGATGCAGATCAGTGTGATGGGACTAGGTGTGATGCCCACACGGTATGTAGTAACTTCGTTGCTCTACTCAGTAATTTCTTACGTCCATTCTTAGAAACTTCTGGTGACAAATCGTTAGGCGCCACTGCTTTGCACCCTTCCGGATTTGAAACGAAGTAACGTAGACGTTAGAGGCAGAGTTTTAATCAGGAGAGGTGAGTCAGTCGACGCTGTTGTGAACCTTCATAGACTGAGATAGCTGGAACATGTGTTACGTACGCCTAGTCACCGTCTGCCCCATCACACAATGTTGGCCGAAGTGGGTTCAGGCTGGAAAAGAGCTCTAGGCAGCCAGACTAAAACACAGGATCAATGCATGAAGTTGTTGACTGTTCGTTTGAACCAGGAGGGGCGATGCAGACCAGCTGGTTAGAGTCCATGGAACAGAGGAACCAGTGATTGGAGAATTAAGGCAATATGGCTCGAAACAGATGTCAGTGGCGCAGATGCAAACACACATTATCCTCGCATTCACCGCTGCACTTAATTTCATTATCTCCGCATTCTTCCTTCCTCTCTTTTACTACTTTCTGCTTCGACTTCCTTTGACCGACTTTTATTTCCTCATCCCCTATTTTATTGTCTTGTTAACTAATATGATGATATGAAGCGTGACAGCTCGGACCGTTGTATAGTAATGCCTGATCCTGTGTTGATCTTGATGATGATGACGATGTGGTTTGAAACAGCTTTGTCAACTTCAAAGAGAGTTGACGGGCCGACATCAACATAACTTTCGGTCTCAGGCTGGATTCTGAGTGACTGCAGCATGACGTTAGGCTAGTTGATCTATTCTTCAAAATGATTTGCCCAATGTTCTAGCCGTCTGCCTTGAGAAGTTATCTTTGACCCATGTTTTTCTATGATAATGTCTTCGTCATCGCTTTCCTTGTCCATATTGGTTCAAAGTCAACCTTTTTATCGCATAATCATAGCATTCTGAGTTGGATAACGACTGACAATAGTTATGCTTACACCCTCATGTATAGATAAATCCATTTTACTTGCTAGTAAGTGAACACTTACTGCACTACTGAAATCATAAATTAAGTAGTTCCCAGAAGACCACAAATAGTTTGTCAGCTGCTTAACACGCAATAAAACTATGTAAATTTAATAATAATTTTTCACAGTCTTCTCACCTAAGATGGGGTTTTCGGTACTGGGATCTTCTACTGAATGAACTAAGTTGTAATCTGAAGGTTATGGGTTCTAGTCGTGCGGGCCAGCGAGGTTTTGCCTACACTTCCATTTATCCAGCTGTGTCAGAAAGGTAATGACTAATGTCATATTCTTCATTCTACACCGAATACTATTAAAATTCCTTTGTCCTTTGGACACCAACCAAAGTCGCTTTACATCATTGGGAATCAAGGTTATCTAGGGGAATGGGATATTAGACACTGGTGATTAGTTTATGTGTGCATAGCGCGCAGTTAAACCAGCAACAGGTTGTGATATGAATAACTCAGTTTCTAAGGAATTCTTTATTTCTTTAACCGTCGGGACAAGAACTGGTCACAAGGTCTTTTGGGGTAGGAACACTGACAAATCTGAAACGAAGACGAAACAGTTATACAGTGCTCCCATGTTTTTAATGATTTTCTAATTGACATCAATCAGTGATCAAAACTATTATAAAGTCAATCAACCCTGACAGACCCCCCCCCCGCCACATTTTTATTTCACTTCAATCACCAAGAATTTTTCCCGACTACCATGTGAATTTGTGACACGTTAATACTGCTTGTTCGTATTCACACTGGCTGCCTAATCAGTACTTCTCATCCCATTCCAAATCTAACTGAATTATAGATGAGGGGCATCATATTGATTATCATTTGACTATCTGAGACAGCTGTAGTTTGGCAGACTAGTATTTATACTGGGCAAAACCCTTGGTGATTGAAATGGGATAAGAATATGGTCAACAGTCGAACCTCGTAGCTCAGTTGGTCAGTTGGTTAGAATCCTGCCACGGTCCAGACTTTCATCTCAGCTTCAATCATCGCCCATTATAAATACTAGTCCACTATCTCAGGTAGTCAGACGAAAAACAGAACACTTTCTAGTATGTTATATACCTTTGAAAAGGGCCAAATGACCGGACGTTTCCCATCTTTTATATAAAAATGGAGTTAGTCAAGTCATATTCGTTTTATAAGACACTTATAGTTTCAGCCTACCTCGAATCTGCTGTCTTCAAATAAGCTCCAGTTAGGCCACTATTTCTGTCATCTATGGACATTGTTCTTCGCTCCATTTTCATTGTTGCGGCTGATGTAGTCACTACTGCCGGTAAGGCATGGTAAACACTCTCACTGTCTACAGCATTACTAAATCCATTCTTCAATTGTTTACAGTGAGAAGCGAATTGTGGTTCCAGTGTGGATAATGCTGATTTCAATGTGTTCGTAGCATCATTCTCCTCAAAATCAACGCAAGACTGAGCTAAATGCTTGAAATCGAAACGTGTTTCTAAAGAATGCAGAGAAAAGTATTGAGAGAAAAAAAGAAGCAAAAAAAATCAGCATTCATTACATTAATAACCATGATAATCAAATTCATTGATAAAATTGATTTGAACGGAAATCAATACTTCAGACTGTTAGACAGTTTGGTAAATTTTGCCCTCCCCTTTTTTATGATGTCTTTGTTATCAAGTCGGAGGGTTTATGAAGAGGGCGGTTAGTTGACGTTTCAAATTAGTTCTTCTCTCATTCACCTCTCTGTGCAAGTTATCTAGCTAGATTATCCGTCACTGCTCATCAGTGATTAACATCTAGGAGAATTCCCTGAAGTTCCCATATATAAGGTCAGCTAGGTCAACAGTAAAATAGAGAATACAATAAGGCAAGTTAATCTATAAGGTTTTGAAGTTAGCTTGAACGAGTGCTTCAAACGCTCAAACCATCGCTTGATGTAGATTGTGATGTTAGCCATAGTGGGATTGGTACTAATGATGGATATTGGCTAGCAATCGAATCTAACGCGCTTGTCTCGTCATATTTAGGATTCGTCAGCTGGGTGACCCTGCTTTCCAGTAGATGACTCTGTTTGCACCAAGAATTGAAACCAACACCCTGCAATAGTCATTCATTCATTCTATCAGGCCAGAAGTATCAGTAATATCAAGGCATATACCCATATGTCAACAGTGGTCGATCATTTCGGTTCACAGCAATCAGATACGGGAGAACACAAGTTAACTTATTACAGTCAGTGAATAAGAATATTCAGTAAACATATTCAACGTGTAATATCTCTTTGAGTTCAGAGATAGACAAATATAATGAAGGAAGTGAGGCTGATATCACATTAAAAAACATTGAATGCCAAAATTTTCAATCTGTGGTTGTGAAGATAATTGTAACTTCCCGTTGCTCTGTCTCTGTTGGCAGATGCACTCCCATGCGGATGCCTCGATGCTGCCAGATATTCATGATGCTATATTGATCTTGGTGACTAGCAGTGGATTCCACGATGCGCGCTTCGTCCTATTTTGGACTGGTTAACTGGGTGTACCCGCGCCCTAGTGAGTGGTGTTGTTCCCCTAAGCTTCGAACCCATCACCCTTTTCACTTCAAACTCCAAAGCGTTATCCACTAAGCCACTGGGGTACGAACAGTCAGTGAGAACAACATCACTCACTTGAGTGCAGACACATTCGGCTGACAAGTCCTAAATAGGACGAAATACACCTTCTGGATTCCTTCGCTAGTCACCAAGATCAATCTTCCATCTGTAGGTTATACGGACTGACTGGCTTTAAAGCGGTTGCCATCATGAAGTGACACGAGTTAGAAAACTACTGGAGTTCTTCAGTAGTGTGCGCCGACAACCTCGAAAGGCGGTTGACTCATAGACACTCAGGTTGCATAGTGAGTACATTATCATTCAATTATCGGGTCGGTTCATTTTCTTTATTTCCTATATTTCTGCGATACAACCGTATCATTACTTGAGGGAACCGACTAGTAATTTTCTATACTAGATTCAACTAGCTTCACAGGTTGCAGGCGTAAGAGATATAAACTATTGGAATCTATCCCCATAGTTGAATAGTAATGTATTCACCATGGGACAAGAAGGTCTTGGGCCCGATTCCTAATATAGTCATCAGTGCGCACCACTGAGAAGTCCCAAGCCAGGACCATACCACTACTTCCAGGTTCTCAGCAGTTCTACAGCTCACATATTCGTTTCTTTGATTGTCCTTTGCATCTAAGCTTGGGGAAAAAAACTTAAAATTAAACTATCCAAGATGTTAAATGTGAAGTTCATTTATCATATATTTCTCTCAGTTTGGCGTAACGTTTCAGAAGGTCTTATACAATTAAAGAGAATCTGTGAAGTAAAATGAACCCGTTGAAATCAGATTAACCTTCTGAAAACTGAAAAGTCCCTTGGTGAGTATAACGAAATAATATGAGATCTATTGGTGAAAAAATTGCAGTGTTTTCTTTTAGAAAGTAAAGTATTCAGACTGCATGTGGCAAATGCTTCAGGAGTGGGAGTATTATAGGTGTGCGAGACATACTAGTCACTGATGTCAATAGTTACAGACCGTTCACGTCAGCCATACTACTGATGAATTCTATTGCAAACGAGTGAAACATCCAGCGGGTGCTTAAATCGCCTTCACCTGGTTAATAATAACTGCTGGTTGGCGTCAGTCGTCTACAAATACTCTAGTTAGTATATTTCCCAACGAAGCGACGTTATTATATTCTACAAATTCTGTGTTTGGATGTGTTTTTCATAGAATAGACCTTTTGTATTTTTCAAGTTCAAGATTGTTATCCTTAGTCATTACAAAGCCTGTAGTGAATTAAACTGCTAATTTACATAGGAGAATCCCATTGATGATACTATCGTGTATAACTCACTAATTCTGTCTGCGTTTGTAAGTTAGACTGATAGCCAGACATGATGAATGAACAGTTAAACAGCTAAATAACAATACAACTTCATATCGAATCGAAAAACTGGAATCCACTCAACAACCATATTTACCTCCTGGTAGTAGACAGCTAATCATACTGCCTATCGCGATAACTGGAATGGGATATGTACCCGTAACTTACTAGTTAGAAATCAAGTGCTGAGAGCTGTGTAGTGACTTCCTCAGCAGTACCCACTCATCACTCCATCTTGGCTGGAACTTTAGAACTTAAAGTTTCATAGTGAAGGAGTTCATCGCTCAGTCAATGAGTCGGTCCTGGGAAGGTTCTGAGTTCAATGTTTAACTGGGTCATGTGTGCACACTGCTGAGGAGTAGCATACTAAGAAGAAACAGCTGTCCATTATTCTCAGGATTTCGATGTTCCTCCAGATGATGGAAGTCGATGAAGAAATAAAAATCCCCATAAACCTCAAATTAAATTTAAGATAACTATCGTCAAAATATTCATTACTGAAAACAACTAATCAGTCTTAGAGATGAACTTGGCCCTACCACCTTCACTATACTGTTTCATTAAACTTTGAGGGAGTTGTGGAGATTTGGAAATATTTCAAGTTGTTATTCATCGAAGGCTGACATCAGTTGGAGGAACAAAGGAAACCTGGGAGCACCGGACAGCTGTTTCGTCCTAGTATGGGACTCCTCAGCAGTGCGCACCCACGACTCCACAGCATCGGGGATCGAACCCGCGACCTTCAGGTTCCGCGGCCAGCTCGTTTCCTTTGTTCCTCCAACTAATGTCAGCCTTCGATGAATAACAACTTGAAATATACTGTTTCAGTTCAAAATATAAATTATAATAACGATTTACTGAAGTAAGTAATTCGATTGTATCGTATCAACTCACCTTTACATCCTCTTGAATTTTCATGAACAGTTTTATAACATCGTTTAGTGGTGTTACTCAATTTTTTTTTATGTTGAAGATGATGTAGATATCTCGAGTTCTTCAGTTTCATTGAACATTGATCATACTTCATTGAATGTTTAACTCCTTCACCTTCTTTATCTACATGACAACTGTATGTATTGAACAATTGTTTTAAATTATTGTTATTATTATTATTATTAAAGTCATATCGATTATTATCAGTATTTTTAAATGAATTCATTGATTTATTATTGATTGTTAAATTGTTAATTATCATTGGTGTTGCAGCTGGTATCGTTGCGACATTAGGCTCCATTGGAGAGGATAAATTCATTTGTAATTTCGCATTTATAATTTCATTGAATAATTTTCCATGTTGCAACATTATTCTCTGTGTATAATTTGAATAACTAGTATCATGATCATAATGAGTAGTATAATGAGGATAATTATGCATCATATTAACTGTAGTTGGACTACTAACACTGCTATCAATAGTAGTAGTATTACAACTAACCTCTGATCGGAGTGAATTGTTATTATAACTATTATTTGTATTGGTAGTATTTGTATTGTTCATATAATTATAATTCATATAACAATAGTAATAAAACAAGATATTTTGATACATTTTTTCAAGAAAGTTATTCGCCAGTATTTCCAGCTGTTGTTCACCTTCTTTTCCTCTTGCTTCTTCATCTTGACTTTTGTATTTCCCACCGTCAATATCCTTGTGATTGGTTGCCTTGAAAAATGTTGTCGGTTCAACGTGTTCAATGTGTCTTGTTAAACACTCATCATTATCTTCCTGTATATCATTATTCAATATATTTTTAATTGAATTCCGTATATTCTGAGGATTTTTGTGTTTGATGCCTGATATATTTGTCGACTCATGTGAATTGGAAGTTGTTACCATGATGGACGATGAAGAACAGGTGGGAAGGCAGCTGAAGGCTGAAGGTGTTACTGATGAAGAATAAATGGATGAATAAGGTAAGGTATTCAGTGGGCTACTGTTTTTAGTATCTGACATCTGTGTAACACTACCAGGTGATAGTGTAGATGATGAGGAACACGGAGATAGTGTTGTAGGGTTGATCCAGTTGTACGCAACATTAACTCCACTACTGTTATTGAGGTTACAGTTTTTAGTTGCACCATTTTTACTATTATCAGTAATAGTTATAGGAGAAGGAGGAGTTGCAGTAGCTTTTGATGTTGGTGTTGTTGTCATGGTGACAGAAGTGTTTTTAAACCATTCACATAATACCATTAAATATTGTTGCATTTGTGAATAGAAATTTTCAGACTTCAATTGATAATTTGATAAAACCTGATTTAAACAATTCACTGTACAATATTGATTCAAAGAACTGATTAATTCTGTGGGTTTATCTAGAAATGAGAAAATGGAGAAAAATAACGAACATCCTAAACAAGTAGGCGGTATATAAGGCTGTATCAATTGGTCAGTTGAATATTTGGTTTAAGTACCTTGTTAATCAGAAGTGGATGGCCAAATTAAGAATTGAAACTGTAGACTACACGACAGTCAGAAGTGAATGCGAAGGGCTAAACAGTAACATCATCTATCCACTGGTGACAAATGTGTAATTTCTTCTCTACCACAGTTATGTTTCACCATCAGCTGATTGATGAAAGTTATCGTTACTATGAACAATAGTCATCAATCGATTAGATTTTCAAAGTTGAATAGATCATCTATGATACAGTAGCTACATCTAGTCTCTATTTTAAAGATTTCATATCCAATTAGATTGGTTCTTCCCTCTGTTAGACTTTAACAACACATTCATGAAAGTATGACGTAATTATTATCCATTAATTAAGGGGATATACCTCATTGAACGTTATTACTATTCCTTCATTTCGAGTATTTTTTCATGTTTGAACGTGTATGATTCATTGAATCGTTTCATCAAAGATTTAACCAAGAGAATAGGATTCTGGTTGCATGTGGAATGTAGTCCAGCAACCTGGTACACAGTCGTACAGAAGGTAATTAATTCACTACTCACTGTTCACAAGCCATCGAGTACCTGAACCAATAGGTTTCAGCTCCATATTCTTGTGTTATGGGAATGCTGATTATTGCCTCCAGTCCAACTGGTAAAATAGGAACTCTATCAACTACTGAGGCTAAATAGTGTGAATTCATTTGGGATTCTGGTGATAATCTATTCTCAATATTGATTATCCCTATTTTGGTTAAATCAATAAAATCCAGTTATTGGTGTAAATTTCAAAAGCGTTTTCTACATGAGTAAAAATCTGTGATGGAATCATTTCAAAACGAAGAATAGTTTTCATCTTAACTCAGGCATTCTCATCACTATACACTTCTGACCTCAAATGGAATCATTTAAATCGAACCTATGACGGATGAATGTTCACCCTGAACTGATAAAGGTTCAAGAACTAATGAAAACGATATTCATAACCGTTAGGAATTCTTCATACTGAGATGAAGACACTCAAGTCTGGTGATGTGCGTGTAACTGACTCTTCAGTAGTCCGGTCAAGATTTAATAGTGGTATCATTAGCTGTCACACAATAGATGTGTCTTGTTACCTCCTGTACCAACATCCAAATGGTAGCCTATATTTCTTCTCACCTTTGATCTTCGACCGCCTTCTTGCATCCTTTGACAGATTAAATTGTCTCAGTTGACTACATTGTAGTCTACTTTATGGTTGGTAGTGAAATTCAGCACACGCGTTTCGTCCCACTTGGGACTCGCCAGCCGAATGTACCTGCATTCCAGCAAGCGATGTTGTTGCTACTGAGACTAGAACTCAGTTCCACTTGATTTTATCAACTTTTTTCTTGTCGCTAGAGCAGTTTCATGTTGAACACTTTCACTAACCTCTTCTGGTAAATTAAAAACTTCTCTCTCTACTATGCACACATGAAGAAGCACCCACACATATACACATACACCTTCACACATAAAAATGTATATCCATACTGCACAAAATAAATCATTAGAACAAAACACTTTTCACTTCCTCATTGAAACATTCGTCATAATGTTAATCACCCAAAAAGGTTCCAATTTATAAATGTTGTCCACGTGTCTATGCAATGCATTTAGCCTCCTACCCTTCGACTATTACCTCACCTCCCCCCCCCCCACCTCATACTATAACCACTATCCGTAGGGGATTAAGGAATGCATGCACACATGATGTGCAAGTGAAATCGATTTTCCAAGATCAATGACGTAGCGTGGACAAATTACCCCCCCCTCTCTCTCTCTCGTGGGATATAGATCAGCTTTGATTCCGCTAAGGTCAATTAGTTAGTACTTGTTGACTAGTTATGATTGTTTTGATTACGCCTTTTTCAATTTTATCATTGTCGTCAATCTTGACAAATTCTGTCTTGAAAAAACTAACCAGTTTCAACTGGAAAGTATTCAATCAAAGTGTTGACGATTACATCTGTACATATGTGCATAACATTTAAGGCGTAAAATAACGACACTAACCTAGTTACTACGGTGCGAAACTGGTCAACTATAACACCATTTCCACCACTAACGCCAACTACTACCGCACCACAGGATGACATTTGAAGAATATTTTCGCTTCCATTTAATGACCCTCCGAATGATAATCAATCATGATAACAGAAAAGTGAAAAAGGTGACAACAACTAATTCTCTTGCATAAACAATTTACTTCCAGCAGAAATTAGTAGTCACGTGAAAAGTAATCATTCCACACAATCGCCAGCCTAGCAACAATAGAAATGACCAATTAGTTGTCTCCATTTCAGCTGGAAAGGCAGATTTTCATGAAATAGAGAAGTCTAATTGGTTATTAGAGTTGTTGCTAAGGCTTCGTTAAAGATACTCCTTATTAAAATGGTGACTTCACTGTGTTACGTTAAAGATCACCCCAGCAACTAATGAAACAACCAATCACATTTCTTTATTCTATAAAAATAGTCTTCCCAGAAAAAAAACCGCTACCTGATTGGCTATTTTGTCAGTTGTTAGGGTGGTCTTTAGAGTCTCCTGATTTCACTGAATAATTTTTGGAAATGGATTACACTGGCAACTATCGAAATAACCAACTGAGTTTTTGAATTTCGGCTGGAAATAAAGAAATGTTATCGGTTATCTAAGCCGTTGTTAGGATGGCCTTTAGAGTCACTGCATTTAACCAAATGAATATATCACTAGTCATTAGCATAGATGGTGAGTGAGTCATCTACAAAGAAGTTCTCAAGACTAACTAATTCACATCATCACCAAAATCCCCTGCTTTAGCTTCAAATCCTCCTCATCACTGCTGTTTTAATATCTACCTTAAAATTAGGTTAAGTATCTTCTGTCACCAAATAAACTTGTGTGCGACTCCTGAATACACCACAAGGACAATCTTGATGAAGACATAGATAGACGAAACTTTGGGCAGTGAATCCACACAGGATAATTTCAAGTGTTTAAGCCTAATAACTTTTTGGTGCTCCCCGAGCATTTAGGTTTCTAGATGGATGTTTCATCACCAGACTGGGTGGCCTCAGCAGGATTTACTGGATCATGATGAATAAACCTCAAAACTCGAAGAGTATCAACCAGTTATCCTCCTTATCGTAAGCTGGAAACCTCTACTACCTTAGATTGAAGCCTTCGAGATGATTAATTCCTTCCCCAACTTTTGACCGGTATGAACTCACTTGGAAATAGATTTATGAACGTCTCTAGAAGTTACTATCCATCAAATTGACCGACTCGGTAAAAAGGTGAAATCTGTATGAAGGATACTGGCTGACAGTCAGCCAAACTGTCTTAAGGTCAAAATTAATCATTTGTCTCGTAACAAACTGATAATTGGAGATTTAGTCAAGCTTCTACGCTGTTGCTGAGTCCTATATGGGGACGAAACAAGTCATTGATGAGAAGAATATATAGTTTGGGGTTTGTGGGTGTTTTATTTTTAAGGTTGTATTCCCCGTGGACTTACGTCGGTTGTATAACCATTGGAAAGCTGGGAGCACTGGACAGCTGTTTTGTCCTAGTGTACAACTCTTCAGCAGTAGGCACTAGCAACCCCGACAGCTGGGGAAGTCATGACTCTGCTATAGGTAACCAGGAGTAACATTTTCGCATATAAACTTGAGGGACGTTGTACAGAATACAAAACGAAGTGATTTTCCAATATCTTCACCCCTGGTGGAATCCGAATGTTTCACAAATTGATTTGTCAGCAGTTAAACGCAGTAATCTCTGGATCACTTAAAGTTGTTATACTTCTTATCAGAATATGAAAATAGGAAATCGAACTAAATGCGTTCTGGATCTCACTGCTAGTCACCACCAGGTAAATCAAAACAATGAACATTCAGGCAATATCGAGTTATTTGCATAAGATCCCATATGCCGACAGAAATCGGTAGATTCAATCCAGTAAAACATCGGGAAATTCCAAGGATCAATCTATGATAACAATGAAAGGACATTATACAGGAGATGATTATTATACCTCATTGGCCTATCCGACAGAGCCATGGTGTTTGAAGCGATGGGTGTGGGGTTCGAGTCCCGGGGGACAACATCACTCACTGGGGTGCATGTATATCCACTTGACGAGTCCAAAGTAAGACGAAAACACGTGTCCTGGATTCTACCAGGTAAACTAAGACGAAAGAATGCCCAGAAATTAATCCATATGACGGGAATGTATACGATTCTGATTGAGGATTATCTAAGAGAGTTTTCTATGACGGATGGACATTTATCAGCATGGGAGTTATAATTGAACGAAGTTGGTAAGATCTACATGTCACGACAGGATTGAGATTAGCACCCTACAACTTACTAACTTGACTTTCTACGAAGTGAGTTATAACTTATAAATTGAAATTGATACTAAGCTACCAAGGAGGTTTCTTGCTTTATACGATAAAGCTACAGGTCTCTAACCCCAAAGCTTCTGTAGCCAGTTGTCTCAGCTTCACTCATTATCCTTGTGTTCACAAATCAATGTAGGACATACAATATTCAGATAGCTGGTCTGATTAACGCTGAATTGGGTTACTTGATTAGCTATTTGCTGCTATCGGTGAGCTGAACTTACTAACTACAATGGAGTAGTGAATCTCCTTAAACTCCAAGCCAGTGAGTATGATAACTTAGAATTGTTGGCCATCACATATACAATAAGGGAGGGACCAAGAGTACTGTTGTTCGAAATCACCAATTACATAACAGACACTCAGTCAATGATATGATGTAAGCCATTATACAACTACGGAGTTCTGAGTAAAGACTGTCCCCTATAAGCTTGCCGTCATAGAAGCCTCGACTTTATTAGGCCGACCCAGGTCAAGCAGGGCGTCCTGTCGTTTGCCTCCATTCAACTAC